CATTGATCTCTATATGAATTCTATCTTATCGTGTTAGATAAAAATATATGTTGATAAAAGCTTAGATTTACTCCTAATGAAATAAAATTCTAAGTAAGTTTTTGATGACAAATCAAGAATTTGTCTGTTTTCTTTCTAGAAGAACATAATGTAAAATATAATATTTTATTTAAAACTAGCTAAAGAATTATATGAAACTGTAACTAGAAATCAAATAGACTCATAAATGTTGTATTGAATAATGGTATGAAATAATGACTATTAGCAAATTCAGATTTAATACTTCAAAGTTTCAATGTGTTGTCAAATGATAAGTACTAGTTTTCTTTGTAAAAATCAATCTGCATATCAAATTTTTTTTTTGTTTATATTATTCTATGAAAGAAACTTGCAAAAGTTTTAAGAAAAGCATAAGAACGAAATATATTTTAACTTACATTATGAACTTTGTTTGATAGTTGAACTAGACTTGGGATAGTCAGTCTTACTTCCATCAATGTATCGATAAACAGACTGTCGGTTATTTCTAAATTGATTGTTGCTTTATCAAAAATGGTTTCTTTTTTCTGTATCTTTAGTTTTTCGTATGATGTGGGTAAGTGAATGTTGTCGTTGTCTGACTATTAGCAACAGGTGCTTTAGTTGAAGCTATCTAATAAATGATTAAATGAGTTAGCACCTTATTCTAAAAGTGTAGAAGTTTACAAATGATTATGCTGAATATCAGAAAGTCTGATGTTACTTTACTGTCGTGTTTTACACTTCCTTCAACGTCAGCTTATTAAATTCAACGCCCTCTGGAATTCGAGGTATCATAGAAGAATATGATTGGATTATGATTGACGTTTGAGAATTTTTCCTCAATGATCTCTTAGTAAATGAAACGGGTAGTCTTCAAAAGAATAAAAATTATCCTATTTTATTTGTTTAAGTCGAAATAAGCTACATTCAAATTGAATTTAGTCATTATCGTCAATGCTGATATAAATCATTACATTTCAGATTGATAGTGTCGACAATGAATTAATTCAATATGAATGTAGCTTATCTCGACCGATTATTTGTTTATTTTGTCGAGAGTAACACCTTGAGTATAGAAGGTGATGAGCAATTCAAGAAACTACATGTACAAGATAAAAGAGAACAGACCAAGTGAGTACACTCTTTATTGTGTATATATAATGGGATATTTACTTGTTTAGAAACTTAACGACTTCTCGTTTACACTAATTGGTAATCATACCAAAACAAAAAAAAAACATATAGAAATAATTGCAGCACAATCAGCGAATTTTTCCTAAGCGTTATCAATTAACAAAGAATTTCCTAGTAACATCATCATCATCAAAATAGATTGAAGCACTTGAAAAAAAAGAATATAATGCATATGAACGAGCAGCACTTTTGTTTTCATAATTACATAAAGTAAGTTTTGACGGTTTATATTTTAAACTTAACAGTTCTGTATTTTAGATAATTAAATTCTTTTTTTCATTATAACTAAATCTATATTTATTATTAGTTTATGTATCATATGGTGAAGATTTATCAGTTGTACTTTGTGAAACTTCAAACTAAAAAAAAAAAAGTAAATTAAAATGAAAAGAATGAAAGAAACTAAATAAAGTTTCTTTATTTCGAATGTTTATGGTTTTTATTTGATGTAAATATGTGACGTATACAATGTTTGATATAAAAAGAAATTGAGTCAGATCAAATCGTTTCTTATATTCTGACACTATTTTGTCATTTTATATATGTCAATAAAATGTGATATTTTTGAAAACTATTTTTTATTTTTACTAAATGTCAAAAACATTCATTTGTTTTTCGATTATTATTCATTGATATTTTTTAATAGTTATAATTAAGATTGCAACTTTTAATTATTTTAGCTTCTGATTATGGACACCAACAATATTTGAATTCACAACATTTAATAGGAATTTGTTTTTAGATATTGATTAAATTTTATATATTAACTACAATAGAATAGATATATTCAAGAATAATAAAATTACGATTTGTTACATCTTCAATAATAACATAAAAGAAAAAAAAACAATCTATTAAAAGAAATTGCATTTATATTTCAGATGACATCTACAATAAAATATCCATTAATACGTCGTGATCAATCTGTTTTGGATTCCTATTGTGTTAAATCTTCATCAACTGTTACTATTAATGATCCATATCGTTGGCTTGAAGATCCGGATTCTGAAGAAACAGCTCAATTTGTTACAGAACAAAATCTTATTAGTCAAGCTTATTTAAATAAGATTCCTTATCGTACAAAATTTTTTGAACATCTCAAAGAAGTATATAATATTCCAAAATTTTCATGTCCATCAAAACAACCAAATGGAAAATATTATTATACTATGAATACAGGTCTTCAAAATCAAGATGTCTATTATGAATTAGATTCATTATTAAAATCAACAGATCAAGCACAAATTTTAATTGATCCAAATACATTTTCCGAAGATGGAACTGTAGCCATACAATCAATGAATTTTTCGCACGATGGTAAAATTTTGTGTTACAGGTAGAAAAAAAAAAAAAATAATTAATTAAATTTTTTTTTGTTGAATATTTTATTTGTTAATTTCTAGTGTATCTGATGCTGGTTCAGATTGGTCGACAATTTATTTCATGGATATTGCAACTCGTAATAAATTAGATGATGTTATTATTCGAACTAAATTTTCATCATTAAGTTGGACAACAGATAATCGAGGTATATTTTATACAACTTATGCTGGTGCTCTTAATAATACTAATTTAACTAATTCTACAAAAAACGAAAACAAGATTGAAGAAAATAAAGATATAAAGAAACAAGATGAGGTAATATTTGTTTTTACAAATTGATACATTGACATTGACCATTTGAATTCTTTTCTTAATAGACAACAAATGAAGTAGCACCAACTACTATTGAAGTAACTCGTAATGATATTCAAGAAGTTTATTTTCATCGACTTGGTACACCTCGTTCATCTGATATTTGTCTTGCTCGTTGTACAGATGATCTCGATGAACATTTTTTTTCAGTTGCAACATCTGATGATGGTCAATATTTAATTGCTAGCATATCAAAAGGAACATTAAATGAAAATAAACTTTGGTTTCTTCCATTAACAAAATCATCGGATTCAATTGTTGAACAACCAAATTGGTCAAAATTAATTGATAATATGGATTTTGTTTATGATTTTGTAACATCTTATGAAGATTTACTTTATTTAAAAACAAATGCTCAAGCTGAAAAATTTCGTTTAATTACAATAAATACAAAAACAAAAGAAATAAAAGAAATAATTGGTGAAGATAAAAATGATTTATTAGAAGATGTAACACATGTTTATGAAAAATATTTTCTTGTTCGATATCTTTCACATGTTAAATCAGTTTTATATTTATATGAAATGAAAACAGGACGACAATTACGTAAATTTGATTTACCGATTGGAAATATATCGATTTGGTAAGAATAAGAAAAAGAATATATTATAATAATTAAAATCTTTATCATTGATTAAGGGGTGATCAACATGAATCAGAAATATTTCTACGTCTTGAATCATTTCTTTCACCAACAACAATTTATACATGTGATCTTGCTCAATCACTTGATGCTTCATTAACAATTTTTAAACGCATTGAATTTGATGGTGTTGATCTTAATGCATTCACTACGGAACAAATTTTTGTTGATTCAAATGGATTAGATCCATCAAATCCAGTTAAAGTACCAATGTTTTTAGTACATAGAAAAGATTTACAAAAAAATGGTCAAAATCCATTACATTTATATGTTTATGGTGGATTTTCAATCGCAATGAAACCTTTTTTTTCAATTGCTGCACTTCTTTGGATTCATCATTTTCATGGAGCTTTTGTTGTGGCTAATGTTCGAGGTGGTGCCGAATATGGTGAAGTATGGCATAAAGATGGATATAAACATAAAAAAAAGAATACCTATCTTGATTTATGTGCTTGTATTGAATGGCTTATTTCAAATAAATATACTCAACCAGAAAAAGTTTCGATAACAGGTGGAAGTAATGGAGGATTAACTGTAGCAGCTTGTGCTAATATGCGACCAGATTTATTTGCATCTGTTGTAATACAAGTTGGTGTACTTGATTTATATCGATACCATAAATTTACTATTGGTATGTATGCATTTGGATGTATTAAAGAGATAGAAATTCTTTTTTTGTTTTCTTTTTTCTAGGATATTATTGGTGCGGTGAATATGGTAATCCTGATTTACCTGAAGAATTTGAATGGGTTAAAACTATATCACCATTGCATAATATTCCAACAAATCCAACAACATATCCAGCAATTATTGTAATGACAGCTGATCATGATGATCGTGTTGTACCAGCTCATTCATTTAAATATATATCGCAATTACAATATCAATTAGGTGAAACAATGAATCGTTTAGATCGTCCATTAATTTCAAGAATTGATGTTCGAGCTGGGCATGGTAAATTTTTGCGTTTTTTTTTCTTTGTAGCTAATAGACATTTCTCCGAATTCTTCTCTTTTAGGTGCAGGAAAACCGACAATCAAGCGAATTGAAGAATTATCTGATATTTATTCGTTTGTTTCTTACACGTTGGGTGCTCAATGGCATGACTGATCAAACTAAAGACATGTTTTTTTCTTTCTTTCGATGTTCGTTAAATTTTCATTGGAACTATGCTCTTTTAACATTAAAACAAACGCAAACAAAGTTCTCTTTTTCAATAAAAATAATAAATCTTGTTTTAGAAATGTCTTCTCCTCGTGCAAAACTTATTGAAAATCTTCAATCTCTTTGTAATGAACATGGTTTAATGTGGGATGATCAGTTATCAAATGATGTTCCACGAAAATGGCGTATCCATGGTGATATGCTTCTTCTTCCTTCAAATCGTTGTTTTGTTGATTCACGATGGATAAATCATATTCGTTGGTGTTTTTTTTTCTTCTTTCGAATAAATCTTTTTTCATTTATTCAAATATTGATTTTTAGCATCTGATCAATTCTGGTCAACAGTTGCTCGATCATTTGGATCATCAATAAAACGTATTGCTTTCGAAGGTCCCATTAGAAATGATGATTTTCGATCACCAAATACACGTTTAGTATTAGGAAATGATCCATGGATACATTTAGTTGAGAATGGCATTAAGTAGATCAGTTTTTTATTTTATTTTTATACATATGACATCATTGTTTTTTTTTTTAAAGATTTTCATATAATGTTGATAAAAGTATGTTTTGTGCTGGCAATAATACAGAACGAATGAGAATGGGACGAATATCATGTGTGAATGAAACAATTGTTGATCTTTATGCAGGCATTGGATATTTTACTTTGCCATTTCTTGTTCATGGTCATGCACGTCATGTATATGCTTGTGAATGGAATCCTGATTCAATGGAAGCACTTCGTTGTAATCTTCAAGCAAATCATATTGATGATGATCGTTATACACTTCTTTTAGGAGATAATCAATTGGTTGGTCTTTTTTCTTTTTTGTTGTAAAATTTATTTTAAATTCTCTTTCTTTCTTTTTTTTAGACATGTCCTGTTGGTGTAGCTGATCGATGTAATCTTGGTTTAATTCCATCATCTGAAGCAAGTTGGCCTATTGCATGTCGAGCACTTCGATCTGAAGGTGGTCGTCTTCATGTACATGGTGTTGTAAATACAAAACAAGAAACACATGATCAATGGAGTGAAAATGTTAGACAACGTATTGAAACAATTATGCGAAATATTCATCACGAAGAAAATAATTATAAATCTGAGATAGAACATATTGAACGAGTTAAACCATATGGACCACATTTAGATCATCTTGTTGTTGATTTATTATTAACTAAAATATCATCATCATCGTGATAAAAAAGAATATTTTTCAAAAAAATTTTCAGTTAATTTTTTTTATTGAAAATATATGATTATTAAACTATTTGTTTTAAAGTAATAATTTTATTTCTCTACAAAAGAATATCTCATCACTTCTTATTCATTCACTCAATTCAAAATCGAACATGGCTAACGAGGGAACATTCCCAACTGTCATATCGCTTTTGAGTCGAGCGTATGCGCATCATGTAGGCCCTAATAATCTATGAATACTCTGAAAAAATTTCGTTCTGCTAGCTTATTACTACCCAGATATTGCATTTTTACTGTATGTTTAAGCAGAAAGCCGTGGTCCCCCCCTCAGGAACACTAGGAAAACTGACTTTCGAATTTCAACTTGAAACTTTGCATAGAGATAGGTCTCAATGAGAATATTTTATTGTGAAAGTTTCAGATCTTTTGATTGCATCCAGTCTGAAATAAGAATATCGGAATCTGCTGGTGTATATCAGCGATTTTACCATAGCTGTATCTTAGGATAGAAACAACGAAAAGATCTGAAACTTTCACAATAAACTATTCTCATTGAGGCCTATCTCTATGCAAAGTTTCAAGCCGAAGTTCGAAAGTCAGTTTTCCTAGTGTTCCTGAGGGGGACCACGGCTTTTTTTCTTAAACATACAGTAAAAATGCAATATCTGGGTAGTAATAAGCTAGCATCACGAACTTTTTTCAGAGTATTCATAGATCATTAGGGCCTACATGATGCGCATAGGCTCGACTCAAAAGCAATGTAACAGTTGGGAATGCACCCTCGTCAGAATAGCCCCTATCTACTCTATAGTGTTCTTTGAAGATCCATTTTGTATCTTTAAAGTGAAACTAGTCCACTGGAGTTTAACCATACACTTGTCATATTGAATACTCAAATGATCTATTCCTGTACTCTAAGAAAAGGTATCATAATAATCCTTTAGGATTCTAGATTTGGATAATATTCTCTGAACCATATAAAGTTTCAACGACAACCTCTAGAACCTTTTGAGGCTCAACGATTTCAGGGTAAAACCTATTCAAGTTCTAACCAAAAAGTCTTGAACTTAAAAAGGTTCATGAAATGTTAGTGTGGGCGTGAGTGAAGAAAAGACTTGCATCTACACTTTCCGTCATTGTTCGAATCAAGATTTGCTTTTCTTACATTTTCCATCAAATCTGAGTGATCTATCGACATGTTTTTCTGGTTCGAGTCACATGGACCAGGTCTTTTATCGTGCAATACATTGTTGTGATGAAAGAAATGAATTTCTTAGATGTTGTCTATAATTATCTTGTTATAAAAACATTTCTTTTTTCTCAAGTAGTTTTCTGTATTATTTATATGATAATAAATAGTAACTTCTCATGTTGCACATTTCTTTGCACACCCATCGGTTAATTCTTGATATATGAGTAGTGTTTTGTCTAGTTTGAATCGCATGAGTTGTTCAAATACAATCAGTCAAAGCTAAAATCAAAAGAAACGTTTATTTCTTACATATCTTCATTTTTAAATGCATTTCTCTCTGTCTCTATTCATTAATTTAACTATTATTTAGAAGTTTTGTATTAAGATAAATATTCAAATACTGCTATTGAAGCATAAGTATTCCAATTGTGCCTAATACGTTGGTACTATTTGAATTAGAATTAACTAATGTCAAAGTATTAGCATCATTGTTTTATTAAAATGGGTGAAGCAAAATTTTTTCTGCATTAATTTCGTTTTTGATATTGCTCTGCAATGGAATATCGTAGAGAATTCATATTTTTTTGCCTAGATGAAGTCTAATGTCTAGTTCAAAAATGTACACAAGCATTAAATAACAAATATCTTATAATACAAAATATGGGAAAACTTTTCTGCGTCTTCGACCACTTTTTTATATGCAAATATATTTATTTGACTTCTTTTCATTATCAACTTTCAATATTTTCCAGCATAATATATATATATATATATACAATTATTCCTTACAACGATGTTTTTCCTAGGCTATTAAAATGTTTGATATAGCGTATACATGTAATTGATCACCATAGAGTTTCATTCAAAGTTCATTTGGAGTTAATAACGTGCGAACAAAGTTTTGTTTGAATATTTCCAAGAGAAACCATATCCTATTGGAAATAATATCGTTTATCGGAGGATTCGATAAGCTTCTTTTTTTTCATAAAAAAACAAATATATCTTAACAAAGTCTCTTTCGCAGTAGCATTTAGTTATTTGACTGCGATCACTAGTTACGAAAAATCAGTAATACTAGAAGATGCTATGATAGCATTCACATGAATCGTTATGAACTACGTAGAATATTTCCTAATCCTTACATTATGGAACTTGAAAAAGAAAAATTTCTTCATTATACGAAGTTTGTCTAACATTTGGAAAATATTTCCAATGAAATTCTTGCAAATGTTTTACTCTTTCGAACGAAAAAACACTTGAATTCTCTATAATGTTGCATTTCAACAACATGTCAAAAAACAAAACGAATGCAGAACTTTTGTCCCATCCATTAATACCTATTCAAGTTCAGACGTTTTTGATGGGAAAATAATTTTGATTTTAAAATGGCCAAGGTCAAGTGAAGGATAGCCTGTGTATTCTTTATTTTCAATTCTTAATAATAACAAAGGACAATGAAGGACATTATCATAAGATGAACTATTCTCAGTTCTTCATTGTTTTATTTGTTTTTATTTTGTTTATAGACAATAGTTCGTCTATGATTTTCATCAGTTTGAGAAAAAGACGAGTTTTCTTTCGCGAATGTTTTTTTCATGTAAAAAAAAGTCCTTTTATTAATCTAGAGTGCTCTTCATTTTTATTATATTTCACAATACAAAATTTGACAAAAGTTCGTCATCGGATGAAAGTTCATTTAATGTAGAAGAAAACACCATAGGCTCATTTGAAGTATCTTCTGGAAATAATAATAGTTGTTCTTCATCATCTAAAAAGAACTCAAATTACTTCTTTCTTTTTTTTTTTAATAAAAGAACAATTCGTCATACCATTTCTTGTAGTTTGTGATGAACAATGTTTATTTTCATATTTATCAGTCCAAAATTCATCAGTTCCAATCTTTGAAGCTTGACGAAAAGGTATTCCACACACAAGTGCAGCATTGAATGCATTATTATTACGAGATATTTGTTCTATAACAAGGTTAAATTAATTAAATACTTTTAAAATATTTATATATAATTATATATGAAATACTTGTATCAAAAAAATGATTTTTTTGAGATGTATGTTCTTGATTTGGATGAAAAATACTATGCCATTGTTCATGAACTGTTGTACAGCATTTACGAGCAAATTGAGATAGATCATTAGCAAGAAGTGATTTGACACGATCAGGTGAAGTTGTAATCCAATTGAGAAGAAGAAAAGCATTTTGAACTATTTCTTCAGGTGGTCGACGATGGGTAAAATCCGTTTTCTTTGTACAATTATTGTTGTCTTGTTTATAGGTTACACGTCGTAAAAAACTTTTTTCTTTAAATTCTTTTAGAGTAACTAGTGTAAGTGTATTTTTATAATACGTAATAACGAAGATAGCTGATAATTTTGGAAATTGAACGGCAACACCTTGTTGTACTTCAAGCCATCGATATCGATATAAATGATCACCGGGACGAACATCAGATGAACGAATTATGTTACAAAGCATCTAGAATAAAGTCAAAATTTGATATGTGTTCTTTCGTTCTTCTCTCTTTAGTTTTGCTAGAATGATGATACATATATAAAGAGTGTCCCGTAATAATTAATGATAAATAGTTAATGATATTTTTCATACTCTTCTTGACGTAGAGAATTGAAATATTTTATTTCTGATAGTTTCAGTCTTCTATCTATAACTAGGCGTGACATACATTGACCAGATTGAAATACATAAATTTATGAACTCAATTTTTTGCATTATTCTTACAGTCAAAATAAAGTGCAAAAGAAAAACATGAGTACAAAAGTTTATGCATTTCAATTGTGTCGATACATTATATCAGTAGTTATAGTTAGGATGGTGAAACTATAAAAAATAAAGTATCTTGATTAGATCTATATGCAATAAAAATTTCACCTCTCTAGGTCGACAAAAAGTATGAAAAATATCATTAACAATTTATTATCAATTATTATGAGATACCTTATATATATATATATATGAAGTCTTCATTCCCTTTTTGTTCTTTGTCTTAGAATATGTAAAATATCACGTGATGATATCTTCTTTTTCAAGGACCTCCATTTTGTATATTATAACATAGGCTCAAGAGTGCATTTGAATTTTCATCTGAATCACTCTCAACGAGCAAAACATTGTGCTTGAAGATTCGAGATAAATGATATAAATAGTTTTGCGCAATAGAATTTAAATTAATTCAATAAGAAAATGTATATCAATGGCATTTTTCTTTTACCTTGGTTATAGATTGAGAATCTTTTATCTGATGCTCTATGACCTTATTTATTCTAATCTTTTCTTCTTGCCTTCTTTTCGATATGTTAATGTCAATAGAAGTTTGTACTCCGCATTATCTTATTTCAATTCTTCTTACTTCACATAGGTAAAAGAATAAGATAAATAGTACTATTCTGCATTGCTTACAGTTTTATTATGTATATTTTAAATAAATATTCTACATTTATGATCATTAGAAATAGAATAATTATAGTAATGAATGCATATGAGTTATCTATGATTTTGAAGCAAATAATACACATTTCAGGTAGCAAAAAACGTCTGTGGTAAAATAAATCATTTAAAGTATTCGAAACTCATTTCAAAACTATATGGCATCTGGCCATAACGAAGAGTATGAGAAAGGTGAAAAACATTTGGAATTTTGATTTTGGACTTTCTACAACGCACAGATAATAAAGACTCTTAGTATCTATCAAATCGATTAGAATTTAGTATTATTACTGAAAGCTTTTGTTGTACTTACGTATAATTTTTTGCCTATTTATTATGAAAAATATACTCCTTAATAAAATTTTATCGCAGTACGAAATCGCTGGACAACTATATTGTGTTTCACCAAACATTTTCTGTAAATATAATGCCAATTTTATTTCTATAAGTAAATGCAATTGTATTCATTTATATTACTTTTGTTCTATTTTCTCTAGAAATCTTTGATAAACAAAAGATTTTCATATTTTTCACTCTTGTTTTTCTCTACGTAATCATAACAAAAAGTATTACTAGCAGTACCCTAAAGAGTAATGTTGATTATCAAAAAAGATATCAAATTATTAGTACTAACAATAATTTATCATTTCTATGGTCACAAGATTATTTATAACATTCGAATTCTACTTTAAACGAACTTAGCATCATACTGGAAATTGAATAATATTTCAATCATATAGAGATCTCAACGTCTATAATGACATTTCTCAAAGTATCAAATATTGTGTCGTTCTCGAGATCATCGGATCACCACATATGAACTTTAGATGTGAAATTTGAGAAATAATAAAAACTCTCGATTGATGGCTATAAGGTACTTTGCACCTCGAAAGATTTCATGTATACCTTTCATGTAAAAGTAATCTTTTGTTTTTAATACCTCGTGTAAATGTCAACATGTTTATTTTGATGATCATCGTCATAAAAAGTATTTGTTTTTGAATAGAGCATGTTTCTTTAAATGATATTTGCCGCCTATAGTAAATAATAACTATTTCTTTATTATCTAAATAAAGCAAAGAGAAGACATCAACATTGAAATAGATTAAAACATTATTGATTTAGTTTTTCTTGACTAATTTCATTGCATCTGATATATTTGCATCTTGAGAAAATTGAATTTTAGTATCGATTATTATTACTCTATTCTTTCTTACAAGTCCAACTATTATATGTTTATCAACGATAACTTTTCATTAATAATTGATTGTTTCCACAATTGCTATTGGCTGTCATATGCATTTAATTCGAGAGAATTGAATCTCGAATAGTTGCTCCTGTTCGAACTATATAAATTAATTTAGAAATGAATCAAACAATTTTTCAATCGATTGGGTGGGTGTGAATCTTCCTTTCTATCATACGAGCATTCCAAATTCTAAACAGTGCACTCTGTAGTGCTACATCGTGGGCAATATCTGAGAAAGTTTGCCATTTGATCATATCTTCTATGATTAACACTATTGAATACACCAAGACTTATGATTAGCCAAAAAAAAACCGTAGTAAATCATTGAAAAATTGCAGTTTTTCTTACCGTTGATCTTAAGTATATGAGCTTGTAGCTCATAAAAAAGCGCTAGAAAATGGTCAATCTTTCGACTGATACCACAAGCACAAAAATTAATAATTGATCATGTTTAGGGTGAATACTCGTTTATTGCTCTAAAACATGTATATTTGATTTCTCAATTCTGAATTGGTCAATAGATCCAACAGGATCCTTAGTAACAGTAATATCATTTTGTGTCTTTTATTTCGCCATTGTTTTTCTTAGCTCTGAAATCTGTTTTTTTTTAATTATATTTCATGTGCCAGACTTTATTTTATTAAACAGGTATATAGATTCTATAGTATTCGACTTCTACTATATAGGCATATAGTTGAATTAAATTAATGTTGCATAATTTCAATACACGAATCAAAAGAAAAATAAAGCTTGTATGAAGTTTTGACATCCATTGTAATGACTATTAAACTATTGTAGTTACAGTCTAAATCAAAACTCAGCGCCATCAACTCTATACATTCAATTGAATTTTTTTTTTTTTTGAAACATCGATTGTTTTGTTGATTTCGAGCATTCGTTTTACGATACACAAATTAATTATAATGGTGGATGTGAAAGCAATTATGAATGTTATTACAACGGTATTAGCTTTTGTAGAAGGAGTGGTAGATCAAGTTGCACCTATATTTAATAAGATTCTGGATAGAAAACCATCTCGTAAGCATTTTCTATCTAATAGTAAGTATAACTATCATATATAATAGCACCACCTCAACCTACGATCAATCCAAATTGTCAACCACCTTATTGTGGTATTTCACCTTATTATTGTCCTAATGAACAATTGTCACCAATTTGTCTTCAAAGAAAAATGGTCGTTGACAATAGTTTTTCGCGTCGTCTTACGACTTTGTCACATGATACTGACGATGATAATGAAAGTACAGAAAAATCTTCAACATCAATGTCTCCGTACGATTAACTAAATTATCTATATTTTAATAGTCAAAGATATATTTGAATTTTGGAAAGATTTTCAACTGAAATAATAACAAAAATCAATTATTTCTATACAAATCTTAAAACAATTTGATCTAATCAAAGAAAAATAAAAACAATGGAGAATATTTGATGAGTATTTTTTTTTGTTTTGTATTTTAGAAGCAGTACGATTATGTTAGTATTCGTTAGTGTGATTGCATTAGCTATAATTGGTTTTTTATGGATACGATGCAGACATCAAAATAATGAAACATGGAATTATGATGATCGTAAAAGCAGTACATGGACTGTATAATTAAAAATTTTGTCATAGAAAGTGAATAAGGCACATAACAATGTTGAATGATAAAAAAAATAAAGAAATATGTTTCACAATTATTTGATAAATAGGGAAATATTGAAAAAGTGTGTACAATCTATAGTGGCTCCTAAATTTATTCATCCAGATTTATTTTCAATACCAAAAGTCGTTTTTTTTTTCTAATATTTCGCATGAAAACATCGTTTTTCTGCCTTTTGTAAGATTGATGTATCTCTATTTAAGAACAGTTTACAATATTCATGAATTAATTTTTGAATATGATCAGCTGCAAATAAAGACAAGTTTAATGTCATAGTTTGATTCTTCAATCAGCTAAAGCATTTATTGCAATAGCAATTATGATAAAAATAAAAATAATCAAAATTAATTCAAAAAAAAAAATCTTTCCCATATATATATCTTAGTCTCAACTCTCATTTATCAAAAGAAATCTTACATCCCTTTCATATTAGTTTGGTGATGCAATGTTGAAAGTGGAGATGCGATAGATCAAGTTTTTTTTAGTTCAGATCTTAGTCTAAAGAAAACTCTGTCAGAATTTATTCGTGTCTCATCTAAAAATAATTCTGAGTACTTATTTGTTTCCTTTTCAGTTCGCTTTTTATTTTTGTCATAAAGAAAGTTGATATAGAGTGCCACCTTTTGAAAAAAAATGTCAAAATAATCTTAAGAAAATTTTTCTATACCTTTAATTGCGTTAATCTTTGGAAGAATATGCTCAATATTACTTCAAATATGTATCAGCAGCAAATCAATATTTAGTTAGTGAATAATTCTCAGATTCCATATCAGAAAAGACCGAGAATTGAAGAATATCCTTCACACTATAAACTATATTTTACAAAACGAGATTTTTTTTTGTTTTTCAATTATTTCACAATCTCCACAGAGGATTTGTAACATTTTGAATTAGTATGGACGTTTCTCAATAAGCCCAACTTTTGATAAAAAACCGAAGCATATTTAGCAAAAATTTTTCGTAGAAATTTTTGTAGCTTGAACAGTTTTCTGCTTAGTTTTTTTCAAAAATATTCGTTAAATGTGTACGATTAGTAAATGAAAGCACACACATTGAAAATCTTTGTCCTTCTTTGTATCACGTAGGTAATCCTAGTATTTCGATAATAACTAGACGGAGTCAAGGTTTATATAAAGAACATTCTCATTTTTAACAAACGAAATAGTTCATATTTTCAAAAGTAAACAATCAATTTTCTTTATCATATTCATTAGATTTATTTTTTTTTTTTATACGTTAACACAGAAAGAAAACAAGACTGAAACACAAGATTAATGGAAATATATAATTATACACAAACGAACACAGTTAGCTGGTAAAAATATTGAGAATTAAAAGAAGGTGAAATTTATTTTTGTCCTTTTTTTTTTTTCTATTAAAACAAGGTGACACTATGAATACATATGAATTGCACAAAGCATAAAGTAAAAGGAAAACAAAACAAACAAAAAAAAATAGTCAAGGAATGTTCAAATAATTAACTTGTTTCTCGTTCAAATTGAGACCAAGCTTCATTAAGTTCTACAAATATTAATTTTGCTAGTTCTTCATTTGGATCACCACGAAGCTTTTAAATAAAATACAAAATTATTAACTTTCAATAGAAAATAATTTTATTCTTACTTTATCCGGATGAATATGAAGTACTGCTTTTCGATAAACTTTTTTAACTTGATCAGGCGTAACTAATTCATGCATTTGACATCCTCCCCAAGTACATTCAGGCCATGTAACAGTTGATAATGAACATAATAATGCTCGAATATTTCTCTTTTTTCCTTCAGTCCATTCTCGAACCTATATTCATTTATTTAAATAATAATTAAAAAAAAAAACAAAGAATCAATTCAACATACTTTAAGAACAATTGGATCAAGTTCTTTAACTAATTCAGCTTTACGAATATCACCAATAGTTTCTGTACCTTGTCGTGTTTTTGAACCCCAATCCGACATGCCAGATTGTTCACGAACTAATGTATCAAAATCAAATGGAGATGATTGAGGACGTGATGTACTTGGATTTGGTTTAACTGGATCTATAAATAAAATATTATTATTTATGTTCAAATATTAGAATTATCGATTAAACTAATTTCAGGGAAATGTTAATGTATTAGCTGCTCTCTATTCTCTAATTTTATTTATCATTTTTCAATTTAGTTATCACCAGTATTTCGTCGTTAGTCATTTTTGTTTTTATGATACAATTCGAGATAATTCCTGTTTACTATTTATCTGCTGGTTCTTGTACTATATACTTACATGATAATAGATGCTTCAATATGTAACAAAAAACACTATAAAGTAACATAAATTATGACTTTAAGAAAGTCTTCTATTTTCTTGAACAATAACCTTTTTCATATTTATAAATCTAATTAAGAATAAATAGATAGACGAATTTCATCTTCGTATAGATCTAATTGTAATATAATGATTTTCATTGCCATTCGTTCGTTATTTACGTTTAAGTTTTAAAACTTTTTTTTTTTTTATAGCATGTAGAATAATATTTGAGTCTTGCAGAACATTCAAATTATCTTATTGATCATCATTCAATGAAATTTTTGTCTATTAGGAAAATTTATTATGAATGTTAACTAGAAGAGTAGATATCTATACTAACGATTATTGTACTTCAGTGGAAAGATTTTTTTAGCACAGTACGCTAGATTAACGTTCATTGAAAGACAAATACGTTTATTCTTAAGTGAAATTTATAACATATGATTTATTCTTTCTACTACAAAACTAAATATTCGTTTCAGATAATCATGACTAAAATGTTAAAACTAATTCTTACTTGGTTGTTGTTGTTGTTGTTGTTTTGGTTGTGTTGGTGGAGTGACAGGTTTACTTGTTGAATTCATAGTATAATTTGGAATTGATGTTGTTGATGTTGGTGGTGTACTAGGTAATTTGCTTGCAGCTAAACAAAAATGAACAAAAACAAAAAAATATGGAACGCTTCACGATTTTGCGTGTCATCCTTGCGCAGGGGCCATGCTAATCTTCTCTGTATCGTTCCAATTTTATTATATGTCCCACCGAAGTGGGACGATGAATACTATCTAACATTTTCTTATATATTGAAAGGAATGAAAGAGAAACAAAACGGTGAATGTGTTGATAAGCATTGTAAATGTACGACATCTATATAAGAATTATTTTTACCTGCTGCTTTTTTTGAAGCAAGACTTTCATTACTTGATGTTTTTTGTAGTATTGATGATGAAAGTAAATCTTTAAATGGATCTAAATGATGAATATTTTGATTTGATGATGATTTAAATTCGTTTTTAAGAATAGTTGTTGCTTGAATAGGTGGTGGTAAAGTAACTTCGGATGCATTTCGATGTAATATTGGTTTATCTAATGGCATTGAATTAAAATCAACACCAAGTAAATCTGTTGTTTTAATTGTTGGTTGAGAATAATGTGTTTGTGTATGAAGATGTAAATTAAATAAATCATTTTCTGTATTTATTATTGTTATTGGATTAGGTTTAGAATGATTTATATCATCAGTAGTTATATCAAGAAGAGTACCAACAGCTATTTCATCTTTAATTTGTGATTCTTCTTCTAATGAAGGATTTGATTGAATTTGTTGTTCTTGAAATGGATTAGAAAATGCACTTGATACTGATTGTGGTGTTGAATTTGAATGACGAGTTGGTTGAGGTGATGATGGATTACTAATATTTGATGTTGATTGTTCAATATTAAGTTTAATTGAATGAATAGGTGATGAAGAATTACTTGTATAAGTTCCATGATATTGATGACCATCACCTAATTATAAATAACAAAAGAAATTATTTATATTTTATTATTATATCAAAAAAAAACAACATCAATTTTGACAATAGAAATCATACCAATTGAAATTTTAAAACGTTTTTCTATTTGGGTTATAAAAAGATTATTATTTTTTTTTTTTGTAAATAAATGAAAAATAAAAATAAAATGTTTTGTTTTTACCATATTCATCCATTGTATGTTGAAATTCAACTTCATCTTTGAATAAACATTGTGGTTTTTTAAGTGTATTATCTAATTGTTTTAAAATGTTTTCTTGATCGGTTGTTGAAATTTTTTTTGAAGATATCGTATCCAATGTTAAACGAAATGATGGTGGATATTTTTCAGTTTGATCAATACCATCTAATTCATATCTTAAAAAAAGAAAATATTATTTTCAATTAATCAAAAAAAAAACATTTCAAATTTTCTTCTTGTTTTTCTTTTTTAAATACCTTGAATAAGATAATTCCGAATGATTCAATGTGCAAAAATTTGAATTAATTGTTAATTCACATATACGAATACCACCATCCTAAAATAATTAATTTAAATGAAATTTTTTAATCCTATTATAAGAATAATTCAAGAATTTGAATAAAATCTATTTCAATTTATAATTTAATCAGCAAAGATTTAGTAATTATCAAAAAAAAGCATGTTTTATAAAAGAAACATCTTACATGTGCTTGAAGTGATAATCCAACAGGTGCATGTGATACATGAATTGTAAGATCACCATTAAATGGAATGTTTAATGGAATTAAGCAAACACCATCTGTTGCACAAAATACTCTAAAAAAAAGAAAATTGATTAAAATTTGAACACTAATAGAAAAAAAAAAAAAAAGAACTCTTAACCGAAGTTTATTTGGTTCTTGATATGTTGAAAATATTTTTTTATAATCTTGATTAAAAACATCAACAAATGGTCGACAACCATTTCTATAATAAAAATCTTTTTATAAATAAAATACAAAAAAAAAGAAAATATTAATTAAAAACCTTTCTCGATTAAATAATGGTACTGGTGATAAATTTATTGTTTTAAGTATTAATTCATTAAAATGTGGTTTTTCAATAATACCACATGATAAATCACATAAATATTGAATATATCTATTAAAGAATAGTAATTCTTATTATTT